TTTCGGGAGCCTCTTGGAGGTATCTCGGGGCCTAGTGGGGAATCATTGGGGAGGCCTCTTGGCGGTCTCAGGCGCCGTCTTGAGGGAAACGGCTCGAACGTTATGAGATCGAGCTTCCCCTGCTGGACCTTCCCAGGGCCGTCTTAGGGGCCTCTTGGACCCGTTGGGGGCCGCCTTGGGGCGATCGCGGAGGGCTCTTGGGCCGCCTCGGGCAGCTTTGGAATGGTGCTCAGTGGGTTTGGCCACGGTGGCTCGTGTCAGGGCGTCCGCGACGGCCTCACATGCGCCCGGGAGGGCTCCAGGACGGGCTCCGAGACCGCCTTGGCCCATGTTGGAGGCACGGGTTCCCGCGCACGCCCTCGACGCCCTGGAGAAGGTCACGCCGGCCGCCCCGGGGGCACCCTGGGAGTGCCCAGGACTCGGGGCGCCCCGGCCCCCCCGAGGACACCCCAGGCAGCGGCCACGGCACGGCGGCGGCTGCGCGCACGCCCCTGCCGAGGAGCGGGCTCGGGCGCGGAGCGCCCGCGGTGACAGCGCTGCGTGCTTTTCGCTTCCTTGTCGAGGGTCTCTGCGTCACGGCGCTCGAAGTGTCTGAGTAGCTACACATGATTCATTTCTTGCTCTTCGAGTGTTCCTCGATTTTTTGGGGGGGGCAAGGTCCTTTCAGATCTAATTATTCTATCCTGGGCCTCTTCCTGGCCACTAGGGGGCCAGGAACGATTAGAAACGAGCACAATTAGAAATGAGCACGGTTAGACATGACCGACGTGCAGCTATGTGCAGCTTGGGTCCCCCTCTCGATCCCTGCCGATGAGTTGTTTCTTGCGCGCGGAGCCGCCATTGCTAGGACGACAGCTGTGCGCACAACTTAGGTTGACGCCGTCGACCCATGGCTTGCGACGTTTGGCTGCGAGCTCATGTCTTGCTTGCCCTATCTGTGCCAGTGCGCCCGCCTCACACATTTCGCTTAATGTATTGTCGGCGCTCTGGGATCTCAGCCCAACGCTGACGACGCGTGTTCGCAATCGTCACGCAGTGTGAGGCTCTGTGTGGGACTTCTTCTTAGCCTTCAGTATAGTATTGGTTGTGCTGGTGCCCTCTTGCACATCAAGCTTAGAGAGACTGCCTTGACTATCAATGCGACAATACAGATGCACACCTCGCTCGTTTCGCCTCCCTCTCTCGTTTGCGTCTGCCTGATCTTGCCCCCCATCCCTGTCCTCGTGGCAGCGCTGGTCTGAGCACGTTGCCTCGGCAACAGAGGCTTAATCTGCCCTTCGAAGTACGTCGTGTGTTAACCACGCTTTAGGTAATCAGGCTACTGTCGCTCTTCGCATTGCATCCAGCAAACGAACTCTGCAGGTGCAAACTCTGAAGAGGAAGAAGATGTACATGCAGCAGCGGGATCAGCTGCTAGGCTCGCGGCCAACGGCCCTTAACTTGTATGGTTGGTGTCACTTGCTGTCGTTACCCGTGTGCGAGGTTGCTGGCCCATTGTCTATCGGTTGATTTGGTTCCATGTGTTCCGTTCGGGAGTTGTTTGGGCCAGGGCGTCTTCATTTTCAAAGCAAGGAGGCGCTGCGTTTTGTCACCACCCGCTCCTCCTGATATCGGCCCGACAATGGTTGCCAGGAGGCGTGTCATTGGACCGTGCCTTCGATATCGCGACGGCCGTCGCGGAATTAGCAGAATCCAGTGTTGTATGTCGGTCCGTCGAGGACTCTTCATTCGATTGCGCATGTCCGCAAGGTACCCCACAAAATGCGCAACCGACTACGCGTGCCAGAATGGTCCCCTCGCCAAGACTACTTGTTGAGCGCTTATTGTCGGACCCATCCTCGATGCATCATCCCAGATGAGTACCTCCGCCTCACTTGGGTGCTGACTCTCATGGGGGAGGAGGGCTGTTTCGCCAAAGGATTCTCGTAGCACTCGCAACTGTGTGCCCAGTATCCCAGGGAGGACGCTGTATCAGAGGAAGAGCATTCCAGTGTCAAAATCGGCGGCGGGCGAGGGGGAGAAATGAGAATGAGAAGGCCTTCTCAGAAGGCGGCGGGACTTCTCAGGAGCCCTTTGCGCCTTCTGCACAGTTTTATGTGTCTTCGGGGAAGGCTTCGAAAACTTCTCAGAAGGCCGGGGGACTTCGAGCCTTCTGAGAAGGCCTTCTCCTTCGCATTCCCCTCCCTCGCTCGCCACCAACAAAAGGGACGCCGCGAGACGGGAATGCAACGATGGGCCGAACATTCGTGCGCGGAGGCCTGCCAAGGAGCCCCCCCTGCCGTGAGGCCCCAGGCGGCAGCCACGGTTGCACAAGATCCCCTGTTGGTTTGCACAGCATACAGTCAACGCGCCTAGTAAGGACGCGCGCCTTCATCTAGGATGCCCTTGCGTCTTTGCCTCTGTGGCCCGTCCTTTGCCGTTTTCACTGGTCGCCGCCGCCCACAAAAATCCCAACTTCAGCCTCCAAGGGTCTTGCGTCCTTGCCACGCGTCCTTACTATACGTTTTCACTGTAGCCGCACAGCGACCGCAGCAGCACAACAGCCACAGCAGCACAGCGGCCACACACGCCGTGGTCGCAGTGGCCGCAGGTTGCGCAGGGCTGCCGCCGCCTCGGAGAAGCCAGGGTTGCACCCGGAGGCCCCGCGATGCGCACGGCACGCGCGCGAGCTGACAGGGACATCATCGAAGCATGTGGCTGCTGCTGCTTGAAAGGTTGCACCTGCAGGGTCCTGATGCGCCCCCAGACCTCCGACGACATGTCGTTTACAGTGAGCGGCTTGAACAAGGAACACCAACTTTTCGAAAGGGGCTCGGTCGTTCCTTAGGTTTGCATGCGTTCCGCTACCTTTTTGGTGCTAGAAAGGGGCTCGGCCGTTCCTTCGGACTTCGTAGACTTACGTTGAGAAAAGGGGCTTCGTTCCTTATTTATCGTTCCTTAGGTTAGGTCGATGACTGTAATGCGCGGCCCCAGAGCCACCGACCCTGTCCTGCGGACTGGCATTTCCATCCTGGGCCGTTGTTGGACAGTCCCCGGGCTCTAAGACTGCTCCCAGAGACCGAAGCTGGTGGAACAAAAAACAGCCAGCATACGTCGATCCCCCCTCACGGGTAACAACACGTGCATGGGCATGTCCCTTCTGTGGAACGAGCAACGTTGAAGGGCACACGGGCCTGCCACGTGCTCAAGACATGTTGGAGCCACGCGCCTGAAAGTCCGATGGTTTTGCCACAGACTAGAGGCCAGGGGCTGGAATGCACAGAACCCATTGGTGTTGCCACGGGGAATGGCCCTCCGAGGATCGGAACGGTGAGTTCTGCATTGTGCAGAAGGCGAACCCACGTTCACGTCAACCGTATACCGCATCGCATGCCAAAAGGCCGTGCGTTCGAGAGGAAAGTGTGCTCACCTTGGCGTCGTATGGAAGCCCTCATGTGAAAAGAGCCCCTACGGCACCGAAACGAGAGCGCCGCTTTAGAAGCGACCCACAATCCATGCGTGCAAGTGCGGGCAGCTTCCAGACTCGATCAAGAAGAGCTCGATCTTGGACACGAAACAGAGTCTTATCTCCATGCGCTTCGAAATACTAAACTGCCTGTAGCTGAGATCCCAGTGGGTATATAACGAGGGCTCGCTGTTGAAACGGTCGACCTCCATCCGCGTTAATTTTCGGATAGGTTCAGACTCAGCGTCGTGAGGTTTGCTTAATTTCCAGGCGATGCCTCGGCGAAAAGAACTCTGGTGCTCTATGTGTTTAGTCCACCGAAATGTGGCGGAGGGTCTACAAACGCGTGGAAGCCTCAAGCGGAATAATGATATTGAAAACCACGTGTTCGTCGCCCACGCTTAATCAAGTTGGACATGCCCAGGTGTCAGATCATAAGTTCCGGACAAGTCCTAGGCCGAATCCGTGACCAGTTTGGCTCAAGCCTTTTTGGCCCTTCTCTCCTTCCCACAGTAGACTCGAGGCGTCTCAAGGGTCGCGTGTGTGTGCGTGTGCGGGAAGATTGGTCCGTGTGCGAGCGAGCCGTGGCCCTGCTGCAGAATCAGTAGAATGAGTGGACCGCGGCAGCGTTTTGACGCAGTCACCGCGCACGTCTTGCGCAGCGGGCTCAGCGTCGACGCTCGCGCTGCTCCCGCACCCTGTCTGGAAGAGATCGTTTTGGGGGATTCCGCGCAGGCGTGGAGTGCCGCGGGCTTTCACACGCAGACCTCGCACGCGGGTGTGAACCAAGTGCGCCTGGGTGGGTTGATCGTCACGCTCACGGGCGTCGGCAATGGATTATCCGGCCTCCTGTTCAGTCTTGCCCAGGGGAGCTCGAGCGCGAGCTCCAAGGAGACTTCCGTTGGTGGTGTAACGGTCCGCTCGGTGGGCTCCAGAAGGCGAGACACCGTCGCAACTGTGGAACATCCAAACGGCGTTCAGTTTTTGGGTGAGCTCGTCATCTACGCGCAGGATCTGGACGGCATCGTGGAGGCCTTCGCAAACGCAGGCGTCGCCACCCACGGAGGTGCCGCACCCAAGGCGATGAAGGGGGGCACCCACGCCTGTGCGACATATTACTTACGAGGCCTGCGGATGCTGGTCGTCGGCCCGCTGGACCCGACGCACCCCGCGAGTGAGAACCCGCCGCTGTGGATGTTCGGCCGCGGCGTGCACGGCGCCGTTGAGCTCACAGGTTGGCTGCCCGTTTGCAGAGACATGGGGTTGTTGGAGGCATCGTTGGACGGAAGGCTCGGCCCACAGAGGAAGGCGGCGCAGAGAGGGAGGACAGTCGCAACTTTGAGGAGCGGCGCCATTCAGGGTCTGACTGGCACCTTCGCTTTTCTCAGCGACGGGGACGGCCCTCTCTTCTAAAATTGCGCAGGCGGTCGAAGAAGTAGGTATCAAGCAGGATGCCTGGCCCACCCTACGGACACGTGCGTTGGTGCGCCGGCGAGGAGCTGTCATGAAGAACGAGTGATGGAGAAGGTCTTTCAAGATTTAATGGCAAAGGGGAAGGGAAAGGGAAAGATAACACTTACGCGAGAGGCAAAGGACATCGGGGACGAGTGTCAACTGTATTGCACTTACTCCGCCCTGGTATGCAAGTACACGGTCAGGTTTAAAGCCAAGGCCGCGCAGACGATACCGGAGCAGGGGGGAAGGAGGACAAAGAAGGAGGAGGAGGGATAAGGAAGGAAGAAGGAAACGGGAGCAGGAGGGAGGAGGAGCAGGAGGAGGAGCAGGAGGAGGAGCAGGAGGCGAAAGGGAGATGGCAGGGAGCGCTGGCCCAGGGCAACAGGTGCTTCCATCCCGCCGGCCCCCACAATCCGGCCCTGCCTACCACGAGTAGCAGGGTGACGTTGTTGCGGGTCGGAGGCTGGGGATCTCGGGCGGCCCTCGTCACCCACCTTCTCCCCCCTCCCCCCTCCATTCTACCTAAACCATGCCACTCGGCACATGCGAGCGTCCATTCGTGGTGTCTCTGCGCAACCCCGCGCGACCGCATGCAGCAGCCGGCGCGCGATCGTCCGAGCACTGTGGGCTTGCTCGGTCAGCTTGGTGACCGACGGTGCTTGTCGTCTCGACCCCTGCTCTCGGCCGCCTTACCCTTTTCCTGGCGAGCGCGCTCCACTCGGTTTCCTGAAAGATGACTCGTCCGTGCCGGGCCCATCAATGTTGGTAGGGCGGGCCAGGCATCTCGCATCATACATCCTCACCACATATATATATATATATATAGGCGGCCTTGAAACTTGCTTAATTGCCAGCGTGGGCCCCAAGCAGTGTGTTATCACAATGTGGATGTGCAGGCTACGCGATGCAATGTGTGTGGTGCAGTTTATGTGGTGTAAACTGCGTGGTGGAAACTATGTGGTGCAAGCTGTGCGGTGCAAGCTACGTGGCGCAATCCACGTGATGCAAGCTCTGCGGCGCAGGTAGCCACGAAAACTTGAGGTCGTGAAATCCCCTGCCGCATTGCTCGTGCAAATGTCCCTCACTCCCACCAGCAAACTCCTTGGCAAACGTTCGATACTTCGATACAGGCCGCTATTGCCGCTACCCCTCGGGAGTCGCCCTCGAGTCTCGAGCGGCGCAGTGACGCGCGGACCCTGCTCATGCAGACCCATGATTCGGGCGGGAGAATGATGCTAGCGACGACGACAACGGCGGCGACGACGATGATGGAGCTGGCGGCGGCGACGACGACGAGGGTGACGACATCGACGATGACAATGATGACGACGGTGGTGATGATGGCGACGAGGGCGACGGTGATGAGGATGACGATGACGATTGGAATCGTGCCGCTGTTGATGGTGCGAACGGTGGCGATGATGATGAGGACGATGATGAGGATGAGGATGTTGAGGAAGTGCGCTTGAGAGTTGGCATTTCGAACGCATAGCATAATTAAATCGGAAACGATGTGTATTCTCGTTCTCATCTCATATGTGTCCAAATGCCCAGAGAACAATGGTTTAGGAACGATGTCGACGTGCGCGCGTGGAAAGGAGCGCGTGTGGCCCGCATGGTACGTGTTGTTGGCCGAGTTGACGGGCCCGCGATGGACGTTCAATTTGTTTGACATGCGCCCGCATGTGGCCCACGTGGCCTTTTTGACAGAAGGGGCAACAACAAGTCTGTGGCACTGCTATGTTTTCACCGAGAACACGCGCAGACATTTGACAAAGCCTTGCCGAAAGAATACGCTACCGAGGAACCCCGCAGATTTAGTTTTAACTCGTGCGTTCGCAAATCCAACGTACAACATATGTGGATGCTGCTGCGAGTCGCTGCCCTGTCGGTACCGTCGGCGACGTCAGCCATGCACTGGCAGCCCAACATGGATGTCGGACGCACTCGTAACACACCATACACTTGTGCGGCATACACTCAATCATAATGTTCGTCAGATTGTCATCTTTCACGCAGGATCGCAACACCCACAATCCGGCATTACGTGCACTTCCTCTCTCCTCCCGCCCTCCCTTGTCAACCGCTCCTCCATCCCACTCTGGCCCGTGGTGTCGAGGAAGTGCCACGCCGGCCACGCTTTGCGAGCCCGCATCGGATAGCTCCCCCACCCCCAGCGCGACCCCCTTGTGGTGTCGAGGAAGTGCCACGCCTGCAACGCCTTGCGAGCCCGCAACGGACAGGGGGGCCACCCACAGCGCACCCCCTGTGGTGTCGAGGACGTGCCACGCCTGCCACGCTGTGCGAGCCCGCAACAGATGAAGGGGACCACCCCCAGCGCACGCCCTGTGGTGTCGAGGAAGTGCTACGGTTTGCCACGCTTTGCGAGCCCGCAACGGGCAAGGAGGACCACCCCGAGCGCACGCCCTGTGGTGTCGAGGAAGGGCCACGCCTGCCACGCTTTGCGAGCCCGAATTGGAGAACGCTCCCACCCCCAGCGCACCCCCTGTGTGGTGTCGAGGAAGTGCCACGCCTGCCACGCTTTGCGAGCCCGCACCCAGCGCGACCCCCATTGTGGTGTCGAGGAAGTGCCACGCCTGCCACGGTGTGCGAGCCCGCGACGGACAGAAGGCCACCCCTCACGCAACCCTTGTGGTGTCGAGGACGTGCCACGCCTGCCACGCTGTGCGAGCCCGCAGCAGATGAAGGGGACCACCCCCAGCGCACCCCCTGTGGTGTCGAGGAATTGCCACGCCTGCCACGCCTTGCGAGCCCACAACAGATAGGGGGACCACCCCCAGCGCACGCCCTGTGGTGTCGAGGAAGTGCTACGGTTTGCCACGCTTTGCGAGCCAGCAGCGGATAGGGGGACCACCCCCAGCGCACCCCCTGTGGTGTCGAGGACGTGCCACGCCTGCCACGCTGTGCGAGCCCGCAACGGATGAAGGGGACCACCCCCAGCGCACCCCATGCGGTGTCGAGGAAGTGCTACGGTTTGTCACGTTTTGCGAGCCCGCAGCGGGTAGGGGGACCCCCCCCCCAGCGCACGCCTTTGGTGTCGAGGAAGTGCCACGCCTGCCACGCTTTGCGAGCCCGCAACGGGCAAGGGGGACCACCCCCAGTGCACGCCCTGTGGTGTCGAGGAAGGGCCACGCCTGCCACGCTTTGCGAGCCCGAATTGGAGAACGCTCCCACCCCCAGCGCACCCCCCTGTGGTGTCGAGGAACTGCCACGCCTGCCACGGTGTGCGAGCCCGCGACGGACAGAAGGCCACCCCCATCGCTCCCCTTGTGTCGCCGAGGAAGTGCCACGCCTGCCACGGGCTGCGAGCGGGCAGCGCACAGGGGGACCACCCCCAGCGCACCCCTTGCGGTGTCGAGGCAATGCCACGCCTGCCACGCTTCGCGAGCCCGCAAGGGACAAGGGGGACCACCCCCAGCGCACCCCCTTGTGGTGTCGAGGAATTGCCACGCCTGTCACGCTTTGCGAGCCCGCAGCGAGTCCGCAACCGATAGGGGGGCCACCCTTTGCGCACCCCCTGTGGTGTCGAGGACGGGCCACGCCTGCCACGCTTTGCGAGCCCGCAACGGACAGGGGGACAGCCCCCAGCGGACCACCTGTGGTGTCGAGGAAGCCCCACGCCTGCCACGCGGTGCGAGCCCGCAACGGATAGGAGGACCACCCCCAGCGCACCCCTTGTGGTGTCGAGAAAGTGCCGTCGGTGTGTGTTGCTTGTGTCTGTGTTTGTGTATGTGTGGGTGTCTGCGTGTGTGTGTGTATTTGGGTCTGTGTGTGTCTGTGTGTGTGGCTGTGTGTGTGACAGCGTGTGTGTGTGTGTGTGCGTATGTGTTTGTACTTTTGTGCGTGATTGTTTACATGTGTGTGTGTGTAAGTCTGTGTGTGCCTGTGTGGGTGTGTGCCTGTGTGGATGCGTATGTGTGTGTGCCTGTGTGTGCGTCTGCGTGTGTGTTTGTGTGTCGGTGTGTGTCTGTGCGTACGTCTGTTTGTGTTTCTGTGTGTCAGAAGAGGGAGAAAGATGAGGTGAAGTGTGAGTTTCCCGGGTGCGGCGCGGGAGGGGGGAAAACCATAACCCACTAAGCACGCGTGGGGCTTTGGATTCTGCTGAATGCGCGTGTTAGCCACCGTGGCCCCCAAAAAGTTGTGCCTAGCAGTATATGTGTTGCAATCCTTGTGGGGCAGCTTTTTGTGGTGCAAGCTACGCGGTGAAATCTATGTTGTGCAAGTCACCAACGCTCAATTTGAAGTTGTCAACCCCACTGCTCGCGCAATCATCCCACCTGCCCACCCATTCGCAAATTGGTTTGCAAAACCAATGCGGGGGGCGATTGCGATGAGTGGTTGGTGTTGGCTGGTGCATCTCTGCGGCCGCGCCAGCCCGCGCGTGCACGCGCGCGCAAAAGCCAGCTAGTTCGGCGCGACCGACGCGGCCGCGGTGGTGCTGACTGCTGGGCACATCCCAGCGGGCACTGCAGTGCGAGTCGGCGACCTGGGCGGGCGCGGTATCACGGCAACTTCGACAACGATAGGCACGACGATGATGATAGTAGCGGTGTTGGTGACGATGGTGGCAACGACGACGGCACGGCCAGTGACGGCGCCGATGCTGATCACGCCGAAGACGATGACGGCGTCTTCGCGTCGGTGGTGAGGGTTCGGGAGAAGTTCGATCTGCGCGCGCCGATGCGAGAAAGTGGTGGCCCGCATGGCATGATTTGATGCGGGTCGTTCCCCCCCCAGCACGCGCGCCAGGGCGTTCGATTGATTTCACCATGCGGCGCGAGAGGCCCGTTTGGCAGAATGTCGTGAAACATGTGCAAACCCGACGGCTCTTTTCAGGATTCGCAGCAGCGCGAGCGCAAGCTTCCTCTTGAAAGTTGCCGTTGCAAAACCATACGTGCTTATATGGACTCGGGGCATTCGGTTGTGACATCTTTAGAATACTTAAAATGTGGTTTAAGGATTACGCGTGCGCGCCGACGATCGCGCGTGCACTTCGTTCTTTTTTCGTTGCAAGGGATGCTTGAAAGATTTCGACATGCGCACGCGGGGCCCGTCTGGTAGCATATAAGGAAAATGTTGAAGTATGGCCCCCTTAAGAATTCGCAAACGCGCGGGCGCAATTTTGTTGAAAACCCTTGTTGTGAAACCATGTGTTTTTCATATGTTGTTTAGGCACTCGAAATTGAAATGCGCGCGCGGCGACTCGCGCGTGTGCACTTTTTCCTGTTGCAAACGACTTTGGGAAAGTTATGGTTTGTGAGAAACGAATGCGCGCATAGTTTTTTGTTTTGCAGAGGGTGGGGGAGGGAGCGGAACCGGCCTGATTGGGATGGTACGAGTTGAATTCTAGGATGGACGATGTGGCATTTTTTATGTAATTTGCCATACGTTAGTGGGTGCCGGATTACCCAGGGGTGGGTAGAAACTAATTTGTTCTGAGATAGGGGAATATATGATTTGGCATATATGTTGTACAGTATGTGTGGGGCGATCTGCGTGGGGCATTGTATGTGGTTCTGTCTACGTGGTACAACAGATGTTGGGCAACCGATGTTGTACGAAATCAATGTGGTGCAATCGATGTGGTGCAGTCGATGTGGTGCGCAACTTACGTTGTGCAATCGACGTGGTACAATCTGCGTGGTGCAATCGGTGTTGTGCGAAACCCATGCGGTGCAATCGACGCGATGCAATCGACGTGGTTCACTTTATGTGGTGCGATCTACGAGGTGCATTTCACTTTGCCGAATTTGAAGTTGTCAACCCCATTGCTCGCGTCATCATCCCACCCGCCCACCCGCAACTTGGTTTGCAAAACCCATGCGGCGGCGAGTGCGACGGCTGCTTGGCGCTGACTGGCCCATCGCCGCGGCCGCGCTCGCGCGCGCAGCCTCGCGCGCTGAGCGGCCAACTACTACGGCGCGACCGACGCGGTTGCGGTGGCGTTGACCGATGGGGCCTTCCCCGCGCGGTTCGCAGGCTGCGCTGACGTGCGGGCGCTTCAATGCGAGTCGGTGACTAGGGCGGGCGAGGTCTCACGGCGACGTTCACAACGGTTGACACGATGATGATAGTACTGATGTTGGTGATGATGATAATGATGATAATGATGACAATTTCAAGGCCAATGACGGCGCCGATGTTGATCACGCCGCACGACGATTGTGTCCACACGTCGTTGATGAAGGTTTTGGAAGATTTCAAACATGCGCGCGCGGCCCTGCATGGCATTATTTGACAGAGATCGTGACCCCCACCGGCACGTGGGACAGGCCCGCCTGGTCACAGTTGATGGACATCTGGAAAAAACGGATGGCGTCCGCAAGAAATCGCCAGGGCGCGCGAGCACTTCATTGTTGAGAAATCATGTTGAGAACCATATAGGTTGATATACTACCGGGAGCCTCGATTTCGAAATCGGTACGACACCGACGGCGCTTGAAGGATTCCAGCATGCGCGCGCGACAACGCGCGCGCGGATTTCTTCACATCTGTTGCGAAGGTGTTTTTTGTTCCCCCCACGGTTGAGGATTTGCGGTGAACGGGTACTCGCGCATCTGTTTTTGGATTTGGGGGACGGGGGGGGATACCGGCCTGCCGAGGGGCAGAATCTGATGTACACTGCATGATCCTAAAAAAGGATCCGTGCCACAGCCACGAGGAGGGGGGGGGGGCTCTCGCCCCAGCGCCGCGCACACGTTTTGAAAGCTTGGACGGAGGGCGGGCCCGTTTCGCACCGCACACGTCTGGCCCAACAGCTTGTAGCGGCTACAGGGATGGATGGCGGCCCCTTTTCAAAAAAGGTCCAGTCGGGCATGTCCCTCTGCAGGCAGAATATCCAAAAATAGTCCAACAATTAGGTCGGGGACGATGTTTTGCAGATTGCTGGAATATGTTTGACTATGTTTGGGGTACCTGTTGGTTCCCTCCTCCAAAAATCCCCCTGTAAGGGGACATGCCCGACTGAAACAGAAGGCTCTGGCTCTCCCCTCAGCGACGCGCACCGCCGCCTCGATGGTCTGCAGCAGACCACACGGACGGAGGGCGGCTCCGCTTCCAAGGTGTGGCTCTCGCTCGAGACGAGACCCTTCCAGAGCACGGCTGCCAGAACCGCAGGCACACGAGACGACCTGCACGAAGGGAGCACAATCTCCAGACCTCGCTCTCGACGCCCACAAGTTTAGCAGACTGAAGCGTTGGCTCGTGCACTGGTGGCACGGGTGGGGGGGGGCTCTCGCTCGAGACCTTCCCGGAACACGGTTGCCAGAACCGCAAGCATCTGAGACGACCTGCACGAAGGGAGCACAGTCTCTAGTTTTCAGTCGGGCGTGTCCCCCTACAGGGGGGGTTCGAGGAAAAATCTAACATACCCCAAACATGCCAAAAACATAGTCCAAAAATAGTCTGGGGATTATTCTTGGGGTATTTGGGGATACTTTTGATTTTTCGTCGAAAATCCCCCTGTAGGGGGACACGCCCGACATAACTCTAGTTCTCGCTCTCGACGCCCACAAGTTCAGCAGATTGAAGCGTTGGCTCGTGCACTGGTGGCACGGGTGGGGGGGGGGGGGCGGCTGGCTCCTTCTCAAAGCCCGGCTCTCCTTGGCCATACCGTGCAGCATCATGATCCTAGCTTTTCGCTTTCCTCCTCCTCCTCCTCCTTCTCCTGCTCCTCCTCCTCCTCCTCCCGTTCCTCCTCCTCCTCCTCTTCCTCCTCCTCCTCCTGGGGCAACTCCTTTTCGAAACGGGGCGTTCGACCGAGTGGTTGGCTCTCATAGGGTGCTCGTCTTTCAAACAAAACGCGTCCTTCTGGTGAAAAACAGGGCTGGCACAGGCTCGTGAAGTGGGGACTTGGGACGGGAGGGCGTACTGCAGCGTAGCTGCTGCTGCCTGAGCTTACCCCAGTCCTCGTCCTGAGCTTACCCCAGTCCTCGTCCGCTTCCTCCTCCTCATCCTCTTCCTCCTTCTCGTCCTTCTCCTCCTTTAGTCCTCATCGTATCCTTCGCCCTGGCTCTCCTCCTCCTCCTCCTCCTCCTCCTCCTCCTCCTCTTCCTCCCTCCTCTTCTCCCTCCCTCCTCGTCCTCCATGTCCTCCTGACCCCATCCCCTGGTCCCGGGATGTTGCCAAAGTCTTCCAAAGGTCCCCACGGGCTTCCGGAGGATTGCGGACCTGGCAGAGGTCGAACAGTTGTTGAGCACTTCCAAAAACCAGCATATTCTTCCCTCCTCTTTCATCATCATCCTTGTTTAATCGCTTTGCTCATTCCGCCGGCCCTGGAGCTCTCTTTAGGGCCTCTTGGGGGCCTCTTGGGGACCTCTTGGGAGTCTCTTGGGGCTCCTTGGCAGCGTCTTGGGGCCCCCAGGGCCTCTTGGGGGGCTCTTGTGGGCCTCTTGGGGCGGGAGGGGGGGTAGTCGATTGCGGCTCCCCCCTCGGAGGCCACGATCCTCGTGAGGGGTGTAGAAAAATTGCCCGGTCCGGGGTCTCCTCCCGGGACTTGCCCGGGGTATTTTTCGCCCGGGGACCCCCAGGGGCCGCCCCGCGCGCGCGAACTAGAAATATTGTTAACCAGTTACCAGAGATCTGGCCCGTTGGTCCCGCGAATGATCCTCTCCGTTTCAAGGCCGCCGATGTCTTAATTACATTCATCCCATTCGGATCCACTGAAGTCTAAGCCGAGTTTTTGGTCTTGTCCAGAAGAAAGGGCGTTGCCAGCCATCCCAATAGAACTCTCCGATTGAGTGTCCGATTTCTCATGGCATACTACTCTCCACCCTGCGCAGGAAGAGGAGGAGGACGAGAAGAAGATATGCCTTGATGATAAGGTTGGGGAGAGAGAGAGAGACTGAAGGATGACGAGCAAGGAGGAGAAGGAGCATGAGGATGAGGATGGAAGAGAAGAGGAAGATGGAGGAAGAGGTTCGACGTATCGAACAAAAATAGCAAAATCGCCAAAATAATAGTGACCAAAGCCCCATACCTTCTCTTTCTGCCACATGTTTTGGAGCCGGATCGATTGGTGAGGTTCCCGGTGTTCCTCAGACGTCGTCATTTATTGATGACGTGGACCCCAGAGGTTTGGACCCCTTCCCGGCGACCAGTTTTTCATCTTGAGTCGTTGTTGATTCGGTCCCGAGGCCCGGTAAGGGCACCCAGAGATTGAACATACAGAAAAACATTCGGGCGTGTTTTTATATTCAAGTCGGACTTGTCCTTTCACAGGAGGAATATTCAAAAATAGTCAAACCATCGTTTGGGGGCGATTTTTGTTGACCATCTTCTGAGTATCTTTGGATATCCTGAGTATATTTGCACACCTTGGGGTACTTTAAAAATGTTTCGTCCAGAATCCGCCTGTAGGGGGACATGCCCGACCTAATTTTCTGTCAAAGCAGAACCTTCCGATCTTAGGGCCCCGATAATGCGTCCAGGCTGGCGTGCCCCTGCGTCCGAGAGACCTGCCGCGCGAGTCTCGCGGCCCCCCCCCCCTCCCCCCCCCCCTCCTCCTCCTCCTCCTCCTCCTCCTCCTCCTCCTCCTCCTCCTCCTCCCTCCTCCTCCTCCTCCTCCCTCCTCCTCCTCCTCCTCCTCCTCCTCCTCCTCCTCCTCCTCCTCCTCCTCCTCCTCCTCCTCCTCCTCCTCCTCCTCCTCCTCCTCCTCCTCCTCCTCCTCCTCCTCCTCCCCCCCCTGGGCGGGAGCAGGGACGCAGTTCAACGTGGAGTGCCTCGCGGGGGCGCAGGAGCAGGCGGCACCGCGGCGCGGTCAGCAGAGCTGGGCTTAGGTCGGGCCTGTCCTCCTGCAGGGGGATTTTTGAAGAAAAATACAACATGGTCATACAAAGAGAGAGAGAGAGAGAGAGAGAGAAAGAAAAAAAAAGGTGGTCAACAAATACTCCCAAAATCGTCCCCATATGATTTTGGGATTATTTTTGAATATTCCTCCTGTAGAGGGACAGTCCCGACTTAAAGCTATGCAGGGGCAACCCTCGACCTCCACCTTCCGCACATTCGGGCGGCAGGTGCCGCGCAGCGGCCGCCCTCGAGGCCGCAGCGGCGGTCTCGGCGGTCGCCGCGACCGCGCCGGGGCGGCACCTGCTGCGCGGACGGTTGGGTCGAGGGAGTACGGTCGGGAAGTTCTGGATAGCGTGTCGCTTCGCCGGCCCTGGCCCACCACGCTTCGGCGAGGTGCGCTATCCGCATCCCCGTGCCCAGGCGTCAACGTCCCGAGCCCTCCGAGCCCCTCGCCCCGCGGAGCGGAGCGGCGCGGCGTCCACTCCGCAGGACACAGCGTCTCGCGTGGGGCCGCCGCCGCGACACGCCGAGCAGAAGTTCCTGGCCGCAGGTAGGCCCAGAGCTCCGACGACCTGACTGTCTGGGTGGGCCGGAGAATCGTCCCGCGCGGCCGCGGGAGACCCGAGCGATGGCCTGAAGCCCCCGGAGATCCGCGACGATCTGATTTTGTCCGTCCGGCGGCCTGTCCTCGCTGTCGGCCCTCGTGGGGCAGTGGTCGGACCCCGGGGCGATCAGAACGGCGTCCAGGGCGAAAGACTGCCCCCAGGGAAGCGGTCCGCGCCCCATGGGGCCGCGGATGGGCAAAGCCGGCGGGTGCCACGGGACCGCGCATGGGGCGTTCCAGGGAGAAGATCGAGAAGTCGGCACTTCTTTTTCGATGGCTACAGAGGAGGCCCATGCCAAGAAACACCCCGCTTGCCTCCAGGGTGCCCTGGGCTTCTTCGTTTTCGATGGTTCTGCGATGAAAAGCGTGACGTCCCCTCACCAAAAGGACACCCTGGGGTCTCAGGGTTGGGTTGATTGAGTTTCTTGTGGAAGGTTTCTTGTGGCCAGGGCTGAACATAAACGCTGTTTAGCTAGGCTTCGGCTGTGCTTTGTTTTCCGGGTTGGGAGGGAATTAGAGGAAAACAGGTAGAGCAAAACGAACAGGAAAACGAAACCAACACGAAAAGCAACTTTTAGGTCCAGCCCTGCTTGTGATCGAGCTCCTATTGTATCGTATGCCACACGGCTGCTCTGAACAGCGATGTCTGCGTACCCAACGGCTTGAACCGCCCAGACCCAGAGGAGCCACAGCCAAGACGCTGATGTAATGGCCGCTTCGGGTCCAGGGCAGGATCTGGTTTTCGAGCCGCTCCGGAGGTCTGTTACCAGCTTCAAACATATCCCGATCCGTGTGTTTGGCATCACCTCACCTCGATGCCGATCTCAAGGGTTCCTTCAGTTTCTGAGGTTACATCCCTAAGATTGTCCTGGCCTTGTGCTCGCCCATGTTAGGAGTAGGCATAAGTTCGAGGCTGGTTAGCCTAGATCGGGCACTCTCTTCGTGACCGAGGCTCGCCGTGGCCAGAGAGGCCTTTCTCGTTCCTTGAAAACCCTGGCCAGAGCGCAACTCAGGATAGGTCGCGGGGGTGACCCCGAAGGGGGTCCTGGAGGAAAGGTCGTGGATGTTTTTCGTCGCGTTCAGCTCCCAGGGGCCCTTCCTGGGCCTCCGCGCCGTCAGAAATCCTCCGGACAATAAGCTTGCCTTGGGAAAACAGGACCCGTTTCTTCCATGCCCGCAGGGGAAGGTCAGATACAGTCGAGCATCTGCTTAAGAAGCCTCCTCCCGAAAAGCTGGGCCCAGCGTTCTTTACCAACTTGCCAGGAAGCTGGCTCAGTTTCTTGAGCCCGCTCGCCCCTCCAGCGCGAACAACACACTTTGGCCCAGATTTGTTTGGAGAAGCTCGGAGAGCTGGCCCAGGTTTCTTACACGATTCTTGTCTGAATCATCTGTTCGGCTGTCCACCGAGTCCGTGGGACATGTCTGTGCCCCTGCTGTCCACCAGGGGGCAGGATGCGTGTCCGCTGGAGGAGGTGCGAAGAGACTTCGGAGTGAGGCTTCGCGTGTGCCCTTTCCTTTCCTTCCCCCATCCTCTCTGAAATTGCGCTGAAGAAAACACATCTGTTCGGCTGTACTCCTTCGTCTCGGCATCGCTCGGACGTGTGCATTTTTTCTTCGGCGAGGACCATCGAGGAGCATCCTTGACCATTTCGCGAAAAAAACACGCTCGAAACCGAAAAAAGCATAGGAAATGGACGTCCAAGCGATGGCCAGTCGTTGGGAGCTGCTGTCGGGAAGGATTCGGCGCTGCGCCGCTCCAGCGGGTGGCCGGCATGTTGCATGACCTCTCCCCCGGCACTGCCCTTTGGCGAGCATACCGTCGGGGCCCTGAAGAAGGAACCCTTTTCGTTGGGGAGGGGCTCCGCGTTCCTTAAGTGTTTCGCAGCTTGCCTCAGGTTTTCCTTATGTTTTTTATCGGAAATCGAAGGTTAACTTATGGAAAAAAGGGGCCTCGTTCCTTATTTAGGGTTCCTTAGGTCAACGCCCCGACTGTATTGCAAGCTACGCGGCGCTGCCGTGCGAGCCTCGGCAGGCAGCAGTGTCTCGTTCAGGCGAAGGTTGGCAACCGCATGCAGCGATGGCTGGCGCTCTCGCCCGTGCGCAGTATGATGTAGACGCCCGTGCGCAGTCAGGCAGAGCTCACCGTGATGAACGTGGAGGCCATGAGAGCTGGCCAGGCAGATCTGAAGGCTGGCGAGGGAAGGGCAAAAGGGAGGAATCGAAACGAGGAGGGAGGGCCGCAGTTGAGCGGAGAGGAGTGCAAGCACCGTGGCAGGCGCGCCACTTGCAGCCCTTCAAGCCGCGCGTTATCGGGGACGAGAGCAGGCAAGGATGATGAGGGTGAAGGGCAGGGACGGACGAGAGCGTAGCCTTGAGCGTCCTCAGCGACCCGAGGGTACCGAGTGAGCGAGCGTGTTGAGGAGGGCGGGGATTAGCGGGGGCCAGAGGAGGCCCTGAGATCCGACGTTTCGGGAACATGCAACAACACCCTGAGCCCTATATCCAATATTTCTGCTTCATTTTTCGAGCCGGATCGATCTGTGAGGGTCCCGGGGCCCGAACAAGAAAAAAGGCGAAACCGCCCAGCTCGAAAAGAATTAGACGCCAGAATCTCAGGGTCGCCTGCGATCGATTGTGGTGCCGCCTGAGAGTGACCGTCCCCGTGGCCAGGGGGCCCACGGTTCGGGCTGCCAGATTTGCGGGTGGTCTGACGCCCTTGCCATCCCCTCGTCGTCCTCCTCATCCTCCTCTCCCTCCTGCTCCTGGCCTCCACCCCTCCTCCTCCTCCTCCTCCGCCTCCTCCTCCTCCTCCTCTTCTTTTTTCTCCACCTCTTCTTCTTTCTCCTCCTCCTCCTCCTCCTCCTCCTCCTCCTCCTCCTGCTCCTCCTCCTCCTCCTCCTGCTCCTCCGCCTTCTCCCTCCTCCTCCTCCTCCTCCTCCTCCTCCTCCTCCTCCTCCTCCTCCTCCTCCTACTCCTTAGGGGATCTCGAGGGAGGGCGAGGATCGGGGGTCCCCAGTGGAGGGTTGGGGCCTCGACGACGACGCAGAGGCGGCGGGCGGCCTCGCTGCAGAAGGGCCAGTCAAGGCGCAACTGCAGCCGCCACGGATGCCGCCGCCGCGGCCGCGCCGGGTGTCTCTCCGTGGCGGCGACCGCCGGCCACGCCACGGAGTAGATTTACAGCCAGGGCCCTGAAGAAGGAACCCTTTTCGTTGGAGAGGGGCTCCGCGTTCCTCAGGTGTTTCGCAGCTTGCCTCAGGTTTTCCTCATGTCTTCGATCGGAGATCGAAGGTTAACTTATGGAAAAAAGAGGGCCTCGTTCCTTATTTTGGGTTCCTTAGGTCAATGCCCCGACTGTAAGTCGTGTCCTCCTACAGGAGGAATATCCAAAAATAGTTTAAACAGATCGTCTGGGGACTATGGTTTGAGTATGTTTGACTCGTGTTGGGTACGTCTGGAGTACTTTTAATGTCTCGTCTAAAATCCGCCTGTAGGGGGACTCCGCCGAGTAGATGGAATCGGAGGATCGTGCCGCATCGCCGATGCGTCGACCCCATCGACTCCGACCCCATCGAGGATGCCTTTAGTGTCACTGCCCAGCGGGTTGGGGCGACGGGCTCTGACATGAGAGCTGCGGGCAGGGGTCCCTAAAGGCTAGGTGGCTTTTCGCCAATCAACCTGCGGGGATCGAGCCAGGTAAATCAAAGTAAACGCTTGCAAATCCAGTGAAATCCAGAAATCTCCACGGACATTTGGAGCAAATCGCTGCCGCCCATGCGCGAGTCGAAGGACGGCAGAAGCCGTTAAGCTTTTAGCGAAGAGCGTGCGCCGTGGAAGGCACTGCACGTGCCAGCCATGGCAGGCAGAGAAGGCGCCAAGGTCTCCGACGATGCGTCTTTTTCGAAGCGGGTGCTTGTCCTTGATTTCGACCCCTGGACGCTTAGTTGACACGGAGCGTACCCCATCCCCCAGCACGCGCGCAAGGGTATTCGAATGATTCCGACATCCGGAGAGACCCGCTTGGCCGATTGTTATGCACATGTTAAAAACAAATCTTTTGTTGTAGAAATTCGCAGGGGCGCGGGCGCAGGTTTTTGTGAAAATTGATGTTGCAAAAGCACGTCTTTCTTTGGGACTTTCGATTTTGAAATATTTGCGAGACCTACGGGTGTTTGAAGGAGTCCGGCATGCGCCCGCGACAACGCGCGCGTGTACATTCCGCCCCCTTGTTTGGCAACGGATTCTTGCGACAGCACGCGCGCAAAGGTGTTCGAGCGATGTTGGCATGCGCGCGCGAGAAGCTCGCTTGGTATAATGTCATCAACAGTTTGAAAAGAATCTGCAAGAGCGCGAGCGCAGTTTTTTGTTGAACGCTTTTGCTGCGAAACCACGTTTATCTCGGCACACCTCCGCAAGCAGGACCTCCTCCCACCCTCCCCCCTTTCTTCCACTTCAGCATCATCACAATTACAATTGTTTTCGCACTCATCATCCGAAGCACCACCATCATCATCAGCACACACACACATTCATAATCAGCAGCACACTATCCACACACACACACACCCTCTTTTCCACCTCATCACCATCACCATCAGCATCACGACCACAATCATTACAACCATCAGCGCACACACACACTTACACATTCATCATCATACTCTATCACACACACATTTGTTAGCATCGTCATCACCACCAGATTCGCACACGTCTTCCTCAGCGTCACAGTCACCATCGTCATCATCACTTACATTCGCAGGCACACTCATCGCCATGCCCACCATCAGCATCACCATCATACACTCACCTCCACCATTGCCAGCAACATCATCGCCATCATCACCATTATTCTCCATCATTATCATCAATCAGTCACCAATCACCATACCCCACCATCACCATCACGATCACCACACATTAGTTACGATGTCCATCCCATCGTGATCATCGACCAAGCGGGAGCTTCGTTTGTATTTCAAGCGTGAGGAAGTCTCAGGTGGGGTCCGCACTTCAGGTTGGGTCATCGGAAACTTGTAACAGTCATCACTGTCCGGCTCTTGTGGATTGAACATCGGAAGTCTCAGGCGGGAGCCTCGTCTGTGACTGAATTGCAAGGAAGTCTCAGGCGGGAGCCGCCCCCCTTTAGGGTCCACAGCTCGTGTTGGCATTCCGAGCGGGTCACCAGAAACTTGTGACTGTCGTCACGTTTCGGTTCCTCTGGATTGAATAAGGAGGAAGTCTGAGGCGGGAGCTTGGTCTGCGAGTGAATCGCGAGGAAGTCTCAGGCGGGAGCCCCCTCCCTATGGGGTCTGCATGTCATGTCGATATTCAAGCGGGTCACCAGAAACTTGTGACTGTCGTCACTGTTCGGCCCCTCTGGATTGATTGCGGAGGAAGTCTCAGGCGGGAGCTTCGTCTGTGAAAGATGCGAGGAAGTCTGAGGCGGGAGCCGCCTCCCTATGTGGTCCGCGTGTCATTTTGGGGGAATCGGAGCGGGCCGTCGGGAACCTGTAACTGTCGTCCCGTGTCGGCTCATTTGGTCCGAATGCGCAGGAAGTCTCGGGCGGGAGCTTGGTTGTGAGTGAATTGCGAGGAAGTCTCCGGCGAGAGCCCCCTCCTTATGGGGTCCGCATTTCAAGTTGGTGATCCGAGCGGGTCACCGGAAATTCGTGATTGGCGTCGCTGTCCGGCTCCTCGGGATTGAATTTGGAGAAAACCTCACGCGGGGGCTTCGTCTGTGAGTGGATAGCGAGGAAGCCTCAGGCGGGAACCCCCTCCCGCACTTCGACTTGCAAGGAAGTCTCAGGCGGGAGCCCCCTCCCTATGGGGCCCACATGTATAATCAGCAGATAGCGCGTCAGAAAGCATAACAAAAGCAGCAGAGACCAGCAAACAGCAGCAGAGACCAGCAGAGACCCGCGCAGCAGACAGCAGAAAGGAGCAACAGAGAGCAGCAAAGGGTAGCAGCGAGCAGCAGGGAGCAGCAGAGAGCAGCGGCTAGCAGCAGAGAGCCGCAGGGAGCAGCAGGGAGCAGCAGAAAACAGCAGAGCAGCAGAGAGCCGCAGAGAGCAGCAGAGAGCAGCAGAGAGCAGCATACAGCTGCAGAGAGCAGCAGGGAGCAGCATAGAGTTGCAGAGAGCAGCAGGGAGAAGGGAGCAGCAGAGAGCAGCAAATTGCCGCAGAGAGCAGCAGAGAGCCGCAGAGAGCAGCAGGGAACAGCGGAGACCAGCATAGAGCCGCCGAGAGAGCATGCGGAACATGCTGATCCTGCGGCCGCCCACGCGAGAGTTCCTGGAGCGCGGGCCACCGGCGTCCGCGCGGAAGGCGCTCGAGGAGTTCGACAAGAGAGCGGTGAACTCCAGGGCTGGGGCGGAGCAGCTCGCTCCAGAGCTGAACGTCGTGCTGCCTCCCGCCTGAGCGCGGCCGCGGCTAACCCGGTGCCTGCGAGGTTGTCCCAACGGCTTGCTGTCGCGCTACAGCGGCTCGCGGGGTTGTCCCCACGGCTGCTGCCCCGACGGCTTCGCGATTTTGCCATCGGAGAACGCGCCCCTGGCGAGCGCGGCGGCGAGGGCGCCGAGGAAACTCAGCAGACGCCCCCCTGCCAGAAGGAAGGACAGGCGCATGAGGAGCACAGGTGTGATGGAGATGAGGGAGGGGGGAGAAGGAGGAGGAGGAGGTGGTGGAGGAGGGGGGGGGGAGGAAAAGAACGAAGAGGAAGAGAAACTGAACAAGGAAGGCGAGCAGGAGGACGAGACGGAAGACAAGGAAGACAAGGAGGATGAGGAGGAGGCGCAACAGAGGGCGAGACGGGAGGGCTTCGGCCAGGGCGAAGAGGAAAGAGCGAAGGGCAACCTAAATAGACACTCGTGTGGGGTCCTATCGTCTAGGTAACTATATGTCTTCGGGACAGTCGATTCCGAAACCTTTTTACGAAACCGACACGTGTATAAAGGATGCCAGCATGCGCGCGCGACGACGCGCGCGCATGCACTGGTGGCTTATGATAAATTGTTGTTTTTTGATAAACGAGCGCGCGCGTTGCATCTTTGCTAAGGAGGGGGATACCAGCCTGCCCGGGATGGTACGAACTCATATTTCGGATGGACGATTGGGGCAGAATCCTATGCACATTGCAATACGAAAATGTGAGCGGCTCAGTCCGGGGTTTGTAGATCCCAGCGCCCTCGTA